CCCCCCCCCCCCCCCCCCCCAACAACAGTCGGCCTCGCTCTGCCTCCACTGTGACACCAACTACCACTCAGAAGCACTCTCTTCCTTTCTGACACAGATGCCCGCAAATGAACACACACACATACACACACATACACACACATACACACATACTAACTTCTTTTGTGGCCTCTTTGTGTGTTCTCCTTTGGGTAGCATGTTTGAGATGTGCCAATAGTCAGCCTGTGTTTGTTAGAGTGCCTGCAAGACTACTAGGTGGGTTGTGGTGTCCAGGATGCATGTGTGACTCTGTGTTTCCATGGTGATGACAGACTTCCTTCAAATTGACTCCTTGGACTCCTGATGGTGGCATGAACCGGTTCCAGGCGGTGCGAGCAAGTGATAGTCTGCTTTGGTCCATGCCATCATATGTGCGGACTGCCCTGTCGGTGATACGTTGCTGCTTTGACCCTTGCTTGCATTGACCTGCTGCTTGGCCTCGCTGCTTGCCTGCCCTCTTGCCTCCCTTACCTGCTGTCCATTTGCCTGCAAATGGTTGCTTGGTTGCCTTGCTGCCTGTCCACCTGCTTGTCAGACTGTGCGCCTGGCTGGTACTTGGCTTGCTTCTTTGTTGTTCGCTTCTATGTCTGCCCGCCTACCCTTGGCTTCATGCTGCCTGCTGCCTGCTGTCTGCTGCCTGCTGTCTGCTGCCTGCTGTCTGCTGCCTTGCTGCATTTTTTGTCAGCAGCCTGACTTTCCACTCTCAACAGGTAGTTTGACCGATTGCTGAGGGTTCAGCCTTGCTGCTTGTGTTGTAACCTGCCTGGCTGACCAGGATTCTGCAGACTGTTGAGCGTTCAGCCTCCTGATGAGTTGGCGAAGAATCCCACAAACACTCCTTCCTTCTTTCTTTTCCGTTTTTTTTTTTTTTTACGACCAGGAGTTCTTCATTATAAGGCCGGCAACTGGGTCCAGTTTCCCTTACATATATGACACACTCCATGCTTCCTTCCACTATGGCTGAAGGACCCTGAGACAGCGGTCTCCTTTTCGGGAGGATTTACCGCCACTCTACCCTGTGTGAGCTTCCATGAAGCTCCTGTAAGCCCTTAGGCCGACTGAATTTACTTTGCACTTCTAGAATCGATTGTGCCTGGGCCATTTGGCTACAGTGATGGCTCACTATCCTTGACCACCACCTTTTTTATTCTTCCTTTTTATTCTTCTTTTTCATTCTTCTTTTTCTGCCCATGATGCGATCCATGTTCTCCAAGTGACTAAGTCTTGGGTGAGAATCTACACTTTTTTATTCTTCTTTTTCATTCTTCTTCAGAGGGGTGGCGGTCTGAATCGCTTTGCAGTGGAGAACTAACATGTGTGTACTGTTGTATATATAGTATTCTTACTATTCTATACATCTACACACGCGGAAGTGGGGCATTATGGCACACAGTAGTGTAGCCAGCTTGTGCTCAACTACATCGACCTGGCGAGCCTTGTACCTGACAAGCACATAAAAGGGACAGCTGAACGAAGAAATAAAAGAGGAATTATGACCAAAAGAAAGGGCAAAAGAAAGGAAAGAAAGCACGGTTCAGTGTTCAGAAAAAAAAGCAAAAAGAATGGTTTCGAGAAAGCACCGCATAGAGGGTGGAGGTTGATACCGCCAGCGCCGTTGGGTTAAGCGCTAAGCTTGAGCGCCATCGTTGTGCTCAGTGCGTGTCGAAGTGCCGCGTCCATGTCGAGCTCGTGGGTTGGGTAAGCGCTAAGCTTGAGCGCCATCGTTGCGCTCAGTGCGTGTCGAAGTGCCGCGATCATGTCGAGTTCGTGGGGAGCCCGAACGTCGGGGTTGCACGTCGAGCTCGTGGGGAGCACGAAAGTCGGGGTTGTGCGTCGGGTCACGCTCTGAGTCCAGATTCGTGTAGAGCGAGTGAGAGAGGGAGCGCGTAACAGGTAGAGAGAGAAAGACGGGGAGAGGGAGCGAGAGAGGGACAGAGAGAGAGATAGAGAGATAGATAGAGAGAGAGATTGAGAGGAAAAGGGAGAGAGAGAGGGAGAAAGGGAGTGAGAGAAAAAGACTGCGTAAAGAAAACCATAGAAGGAGAGAGTGAGAGAAGGTGGGGGTAAGAGGGGGGGGGAGGGAGAGGGAGAGGGCGGCGAGATACGAGTCGGGACAACTAACAGGGTCGGCGCGTTGTCGAGCTCGTGGGGAGCCCGAACGTCAGGGTTGTATGTCGAGATCGTGGGGAGCCCGAACGTCAGGGTTGTATGTCGAGATCGTGGGGAGCCCGAACGTCAGGGTTGTGCGTCGGGTCACGCTCTGAGTCCAGATTCGTGTAGAGCGAGTGAGAGAGAGAACGCGTAACAGGTAGCGAGAGAAAGACGGTGAAAGGGAGCGAGAGAGGGACAGAGAGAGAGAGAGAGATTGAGAGGAAGAGGGAGAGAGAGAGGGGGAGAGAGGGAGAGAGAGAAAAATCCGCGAAAAGATAGGGGGCGTGTCAGACCCGAGCATCGCTTTTGAGAAAGAAGCGAGAGGGGAAGGGAAGGGGAAGGGAAGGAGGTAAGGAGATCGTGTATTGCGTTGCGTGTTGGGGGGCGTGGCAGATCCGCGCGCAACTACGGAGGGTAGGAGCAGGAAGCAAAAGTCGAGTCCTGCGGGGTGAGGGAGTGAGATTGGCAAGGGGGTGAAAGGGAGGTCGAGAGAAAGGAGGGAAAAGGGAGTGTGAGAGAGATTAAGAGAGTGAGAGAGAAGGGGAAGCGAGAGCAAGAGAGAGAGAGAAGGAAAGCTAGTGAGAGAGAGATTGTGAGTAGAGGAGAGAGGAAGTGAGGGGGGGAGAGGGGGAGAGGGTTAAGAAGGAAGAAGACAAACGGGGAATCTATGGCAGTAGGAATCTGAAAAAAGAAGTAAGGGCGAGTGCCGTAAAGAGAGAAAGGCAGAAGGAGGGAGGGGAGCGAATAGGGAGGGGGAGCGAAAGGGAGAGGGATCGTGAGGGGGAGGGCGCGAGAGGGAGAGAGAGAGGAGGAGGGGGATCGAATAAAAGGGAGTGAAGAGGAGGGGGCAGCGTCAGGTATCAAGGTGCACAGCCTTTCAAGATAAGCGGGTGAGGTCGTCTTGACTCTATCGACGCGATTCAAGGTATGATCGGGGCGTAGAGTCGGAAGGAGGAGGTAAGTGGACTACGCTATCAACATTGTTTGTATTCTCGATTACACAGCAAGGGAAGGGGAGAAGGGAGAAGGGGTCAAAAGTAAGTTAAGGGAATAACGAGAACGCACTAGCAAAAGGAGCTACATAGCAGATTAGAAGTCCTTTCTTAATTAAAAAAAAAAAAAAAAAAAAAAAAAAAAAAAAAAAAAAAAAACAATGTCGTTTACTTATGCAATGGCAGCCCAGAGGGCGATGACGGAAAGAGACAGAAGGGAGGGCGTCAACATGAGAACGAGGGAAAAAGAGGGAAGCGGGGAGGGCAACAAGTCGGATTCCCAGGGCACAGCGGTTTCAGGAATCAGACTCACTCAATCGAAGGCCCTTGGGCAGAAGGCGTTGGATTTTCTCATGGAAAAGACGAAAATCACAGCCCCGGTGAAAATCACAAACGAGGTTATCAAGGGGCAAGAAGGTAAGGAGGAGGAGGTGGACGTATGGGAATACCCAGAACAAGACTTGCAAGCTCTACACGATCTCTACCAACGGCACGCGGTACTATTCAATTTCTCAGGCAAAAACCGAGAGCTGTCGTTGAACGAAAAGAGGAAGTGGGTGATGGAGAGGCTGAGGGGGTTGGAGAACATTCCAGGTATTGAACCAGAAGTTTCATACCATAAACGGGGCAGATTCACAGTCATGATAGTTTGTGTGGACCCAGCGTACGCCCAATACTTGTTGTCATTGGGCTCGCTCAGGTGTCACGGATCAGTGGTAACGATCCAAGTGTGGAAACCGCCTCAACCGCCACCAGCAGAAGCTTCGAGGCACAGACAGTCAATGATGAGGGACAATTTTTGGGTGCAGTTCGACAACCTCTCGGAAGGCATGCACAGCTTCGTGCAGCAGCGCTTGATGGAGGAATACCCAAACAATTCGATCATTGAATGGCTTCCTGCGAATCCAGACTTCTTAGCTCCGAACCACGACTCTAGGGTGGTATGCCTGGAAGTCAAATCTGGGGCACCGCCGAAGTTCCCAGAGGTGTGGATCTTCAGAAGAAGAACCGAACGCATCACCGTGTTTATTTCAACTAAATCCAACCCGTTCTGTTTCAAATGCAGAGCAAGGGGGCACTTGGGAATGCATTGTCCACAGTCAGGCGCAGGTTCGGGGGGGAGACAGCCTCAGCTGAAGCAATCGATGCTGGCTGAAGCGGATAACAAACCAGGGGTATGGTACATAAATTCATCACAGTACAAAGGCTGGATTTTTTATGATAACCTGGAGACTCCCAGGTGGGTATGGGTCTTGAGCAGTGCACCCACAGTAAAACCGGACATCTATCCACCCTACGACAGCCGATGGAGACAAGCAGGGGCAAAGCGTATGGAAGACAAAGATGTGAGTTACATCACCAAACCAATGATCGACGAAGCTACACTGTTGGACGACAAGCACAGGTTGCAGACCATGGCTGAATTACACAAGCTGGGACAAGAGGCTGAATTGGCCTTTTTGGAAAATATGAGAGCAAGGGAGGAGGCTGAGAAATTGGCAGAAGGGGAAAAGGGAAAAGGGGAAGGAGGAGAGGAAGTGTGCAGC